AGCAAACACTGAGGAATCAAATAAAAACAAAAAATTTAAAGAAAGCCTCAATAGCGTAACGTAAGGTAAACAGCAAAGATAACAAGCTTTTCAAAATGAAAACAAAAAGAAAAGTAAAACTAAACTTGCTGTCGGTGACAGGACTTGCATGTTTTTTCCCACAAGAATACCAACATGTTCACCTTCTCTGGTTTAAGAAGCGGTCTTTTACTTTACTTTAGCTTGAAACTATGATTCACAACAAAATGCATGCGAGAAGTGATAAAGAAATAATGCAAGATCACATGTGAGATCAGAGTTCTCGTGCAAGACTGGAAATGTCATTAAAATTGTAGCCCGCAAGAAGTTCGCAATACAAACGGTCGACCAAACATTCCTCCATTTCTTGCATCTATATAGACCAAGAAGGAGCCTTTCTCGGGACTGAAGACATGCTTGCTGGTATTGTGGTCTATAACTCCTCCCCGAAACTTCCCGTGTCTTGCTCTCTCATTCGCTGTAGGTCATCAAAACCAATGTATTTTTCAGTCAGAACTCATTTCACACAGCAGGCCGACAGGTCCAGATATTTAGCTTGCCAAATGTTTCACAGGCATCGGCAACGCGTCGGCGATTCTCTCAGATCTCGTCTTTGATAATTCACACTGCGTGATTGTCACTCGTGTAAACGAGCACCGATTTGCCTCTGATTTCAAGCATTTGTCGATGATTTCGCAAAACCTGTCAGCATGTGAAAATCAGGGCTAAAATTGTACAGTGTGAACTCAGCATAAGGAAACACAGTGGTGTGTCAGAGACGCAACAGTTCTGCTGTGGCTTGTTTGAAACCGTTTTCGTTGGTGAGCAAAAACAGGAACTGTTGTGTCTAAAACGCAAGTCATTTTAGTTCACCCAAAATGAAAATTCTGTCATTAATTACTCACCCTCGTGTCGTTCCAATCCCATAAGACCTTTGTTCATCTTCGGAACACAAATTAAGATATTTTTGATGAAATCAGAGAGCTTTCAGACCCTGCATAGACAACAAGGGAACTACTATGGGTCAATGCCCAGAAACGTAGTAAGGACATCATTAAAATAGTCCATGTGACATCAGTGGTTCAAACTTAATTTTATTAAGCTACAAGAATATACTTTCTGTGTGCAAAAAAAAATAAAAAATCAACAATTTCTTCTCTTCCTTGTCAAGTCTTTGACGTGCATTCAAAGACTGCAAATAAAAATAAATAAAATAAAAAGTATTTAGTGTATATAGTATTCTAGTAGAGTATTATACATTAAGCTGAACTTTCGAGTGCTATTTGACCCACTTAAGTAAAACTCATCTTTATTTATGATTTCATAGTTACTTTGAAATATGGTTAAAGTGGACAGCCAAACGTAATTACAAGCATTTATGGTAAAATAAAACACACTCATTTAATTTAAATAAAATATACTCAAAATATACTCGTCACATTTGTAATGAAGTTGCAATTTAGCACATTTAAAATATATGCAAAGGCTTAAGTGGCCTTTTGATTTCATTAATATTATATTATCCTCAAGTACAGGTTTTTAGAAAGATTTGAAGTACATGACAAGTGTGCATTCAATACAGTTAAGCACACTTCTTTTTCACAAGGGTTCACTCAATGTGCTTTTGTTCAATTAGTACATTTGGGGACGTCGTTTTTATCTTAATTAATTTAGCTCAATTCTGCAGCAGTTGTGACTGATCAAAAGCGCGGTTTGAATACAGTCAGTCGTCGCTCTGTGCTTCTGAAGGTGATCCAGAAGTTTTCTCCATCTCTGAAAGTCAAGCGTACATTCATCTCACTCTCCACCTGCTGATTTAATGATGGAACCACTGAGCCGTTTCATTGTCGCCTCGCGAGTGTGTTATAATGTTGAGTCTCTGCCTCACAGCGCTCATCTTCTTTCTGCATTGCAAACATGGCCGTCATCTCTTTGTGTCCTTTTAGTTTGCAAGCATCTTCTGCCACTAGAGAATAAATAGATGGGCTTCGTCGAGTTGAGGGTAGCTCAAATTGATTTGCTTGCTCAAACAATTTGTTCTTGCTTTGCACTGGCTAAATGACTTCACAGCCATTGATCCATTGACATGACACGTCGTCCTGTATTTACCTTTTTTTTTTTGTCTTCTCGCTTTAGCTTGTTGATTGCCTTCATTTTATAAAGAGCATGAATAGGCAACTTTGAGCAACATTTATTTATTTATTTTACTTTAAAAAAATGAACAGACAATAAGTGAGACAGAAAACTAAAATTTAGATTTGATGATTAATTTTGAACCTTTTAATTATCTTTTCATTATTTTGTAAGACGTTTTTATGTCATTTATTTCAGGAATAAGCATGTCAGAAATGTGGATAATGCATAGTACTTCATCCCTGTTGTACTAAAAGTTTAAATGGGAGGAATATTTCAAGTCCAGATAAATCTTAATGATCCTGGGTCCCCACAATTCATTTTGTCCTCAATAGAGGGCATTCGCTTTTACATGTCACTGTTTTACATCCTGGACTGTACTACAGTATTATTTATTTATTTTACTTTAAAAAAATGAACAGACAATAAGTGAGACAGAAAACTAAAATTTAGATTTGATGATTAATTTTGAACCTTTTAATTATCTTTTCATTATTTTGTAAGACGTTTTTATGTCATTTATTTCAGGAATAAGCATGTCAGAAATGTGGATAATGCATAGTACTTCATCCCTGTTGTACTAAAAGTTTAAATGGGAGGAATATTTCAAGTCCAGATAAATCTTAATGATCCTGGGTCCCCACAATTCATTTTGTCCTCAATAGAGGGCATTCGCTTTTACATGTCACTGTTTTACAAGTAAAGTAAAAGTAAAGTAAAGTAAAGTAAAGTAAAGTAAAATAAAATAAAATAGTCATGTGTTTGACATCTCTTTGGCATAAAAATAATACAAAATATAAAAAAATAATAAAAATAAAATAAAATAAACAATTGTCATGTTTTTTTTTAGATCTCTTTGACAAAAAAATAAATAACTAAACAAATAAATAAAATAAAGTAATATTTTGTCATGTTTTTAGATCTTTTTGACATACAAATCATAGAAATATAAACAAACAAACAAACACACAAAATAAATAAATAAAATATAAAATTATAAAAATTGTCACGTTTTTGACATCTCTCAGTATGATGGCTACATGTCACATCTGAAGATCTTTTAGAGAGTTGAACAAAGTAGGTTTTCTTTCAGGCAAACATACCCGCTGTCTCTTTACATTCCTTCTAGCCTTTGGCTTTCAGAGGCTTAACCGACTGAAACATATATATTCAGCTGGGGCACAGCACCATTAGGACAGTAATTTCAGTCAGCAGACAAAAGCTTTTTACAGATATACTACAAGTGAAGAGTAGAAAGTGTCTACATCAGGCAGTCCACATCTGTAGCTGTCATTACTGTTAGTGGTACTGGCAGAACAAGAACAGCAGTAAACAATAACAGGACTCCTGTGTGCACCATGGATGAGTCTGCCCATATGCTCACAAACACAAGCTAATCTGTGGCGTTTGGGTCGTGTGTGTGATATGAATATAGCCTTGGCTGGGGAAAAGTCTGTCTCTTTTAAACAGAACTGGTGAGTTCATTTAAGTAATGTGGCAGTACAGCGTCAGCACCTGGTCAGTAGGTGGGGCTAGTACACTGTTTGGGCTGATTATTGACCAAGCTGACGGTCAACCACTTACAGTAACAAACTTCATAAATATTACAAATAGCTGTAATAATCAACTGATGATGTGTCAAGCCAAAATGGAGCTATTAATGATAGACAATAGTGATTGGATTGTGAAAAGACGGAATTAAATACCAGACTGGAGCAAGATCTGAATATGAGCTTGCTAAAACGATTCCTAAAAAAGGCTAATCCAGCTGGTTAACATTTCCCAATAGCCCATTCGGCCTAAGCAACATCAATGCACAATGTAATGTGTATATAGTACAATGTACTATGTAAACATAATGTAGGTTTAGAATTGAAGGCATGTGTTACAAAACACAAAAGAACAATTAAAACAAATAATTTAAATTTAAGAATTTAAAACAAAGCAAAGCAAAAACACAAAATAAAACAAAACGAAAAAGTACCATAAAAAAAAAAAACTAAGCAAAGCAAAACAAAACAAAAACATGAAATAAATCAAAACGAAAAAAGCAACATAAAAAAACAAAGCAAATCAAAACAAAAACATGAAATAAAACAAAAAAGAAATAAAAAACAATCAGCAATAAATAAATAAATAAATAAATAAATAAAAACAAGCTGCAAAAATGGCAGTAACAGGTTTGTATATTTAGACAAAACTAGGACTAGCAAGGTTGGGAACAAAAATAGTTTGTAGTTATTCATAACTATTAAAAATAAATATTTGAGTTATTATATCAAATTATGTTGTAATATTGTAATTATAGGGTAAAATCAAGAAGGTCAATACCTCTGATGTGGGACAGGTCAGGGGGAATACAGATATTTGCTGTGTTCAAAACTAGCTACTTTCAATGATACTTGTATGGTAGACAACAGTTTATCTAACATATCTAATACTTGTAACAACAAAAAACACAGGATATGCCTCTAATGCTAAAGAAAAGTAATGGCACATTGAATTCAAGGAATGTGTCAAAGCAACGAAATGAAACAAAAAAAACAAATAAAACAAAAAGTAAAACGAAACAAAACAAACAACAAATACAAAGCAAAGCAACAACAAAAAACAAAAAACAAAAAGACAAACAACAATAAAGACAAAAGGTCAAAGTATAGGCCTATCTTCTAACTAACTAAATTACAGCAGTTTTTATGCAAGAAATCTTGACTAATGTTATCAAAGGACATTTTCGGATCTTTTGTTATCACTATTTTTTTTTTTTTTGATACATTGTTGCAAAGATAATCCACCAACATCCTACATGTCCAAATGTGGACTTTTTTTTTTTTTTTGCAAAGACTCACCCATGAAGTTTAGGTAGCCCTCTCCTCCCAGGCCGTGGGTAAGCAGTCGGATCATCTTGTGGAGCTGGATGCCCCGATCAATAACGGAGTTCATGGGAATCAAAGCGCTCATGTTGGTGTACATATCCTTGTCCATCAGCCAGAAGGCCAGTGTTTTGTCTCCCACCAGGGCCTGACAGAATAGCAGATCGACAACATGAGCACACAATTCACATTAGGTGAAATGTTTGCTGGTTGATGAATAGCTTTTGATTGCTTGCACTTGTTAATGGGGAAAAACAGGGGAACAGCTACCGTCTGTCCGGTTCTACACAAAACTAGGACACTAAAAAACAAGAATGAATACTGTCCTAATTTTAATGATGCAAAACTGCATGTTACCACTGAAGGTGAAATTGTGGAGTAAATTGATTGGCCCATAAACCAAAGTATGAGCAATAGTAATAGTGATGTTTGCCTTAACAAACAGCATCCAATAATAATTTGACCTTTTTGTGACACTTTTATGGATCGATATTATGAGAAACAGGACAGAAATGAAGTAGTAAAGTTAGACGAAGTAGATGTTAATCACTAAGGTAAATGTTGCAAACTGTATTTGAATAAAAAATGCTCAATTTGCAATAAATAAAATAAAAAATAGATAAATAGATAGATAGGTAGGTAGGTAGGTAGATAGATAGATAGATAGATAGATAGATAGATAGATAGATAGATAGATAGATAGATAGATACTGAATATATACTTAAAAATGTTAAATAATTAAAAAAATAATAATAATCGAACCTCCTACATAAGCACCACAACTTAGTATGTTGCAACCACTAAGCCAAGGTCCCGACGTCCATTGATATTTTAACACATCCTATGCAGTTTCACATAGGACCTGCCATTCTGATGGAAACTTTATTGCAATGCTAAACAGTTTGGTCTATTGATGAATTGTCAAAGTAAAGTTTTACTAGTTTTAGCACGTTTCAACTCAGACTCACTTAAGTGTCTCATATTGAGTAGAACAAATCATTATTCCCAGACCTTGGAAACACTACACAGAGGAAAAAACAAAGAGAAGAAAGGAAGACAGGAAAACAACAACAACAACAATCGGCTCTAGCCGTGGTGTTAGAATGTGTACAAATAGGATGGATGTGTTAATTTCTCATTTCACCCTCGTCCCTAGAGAGGGTGAAATACAAACTGTTGTGACACCAATTTCCATTCCCAATGACACACTGATTACTTTTCCTTTACTCTACACTGGAGGAATGGAGGTTTCCGGACAGCAGTACCTGGTCGTGGCTTTCGGCGTAAGCGATGCATTTTTCGCCGTATCGCCTGTTGGTCATTGTGTACACGATGTTTCCCATGTTCCAGTCTTCATCCTTGAACTCCTTAAGGATCTGAGAATGGAAGAGAAGGAATAAATAAATAAATGGGAAACGAGTAAACGAGCAGAAACAATTCTCTGAGTACTTCATGAACAAGTCTTTCATTCTTTCTTGGTTATTCTTATTCTCTCGTTATTTGATCGCTATTTTGACGTAAACATCCACTGGTGTCTGTCTGGCTTGGTCTAGCCGAAAGCCAGATTTAATTTTCTTTCTACAAGCTTGGGCGCCATTTCTACAGTATATGAATCCATCATACTGCGGTAATGCACTCTACAGTGGGATTATGAAAGAGATTAGGGCAGTGATGTTAGCTCTTGTTTATTGAACTGAAATTTAAGTCACTGAAAATCTTTTCCTCAGCTCATAGCTCTCAAATGTCATTTTTCAAGTTAAATTATTTTCATTTTTTTAATCATAATTCAAATGATGTCCTACTAAATATTTGAATGTTTAACCATTAAAGTTGTTAGCAGTTCCTCAGGACAAACCTGATGTTTAATTTAAAAACAGTTCGTGAATATTATAATAAATTAGCAACATAAATTAATTAATTAATTAAATATTAGTTATAGTATTTTCTTGAATACAATTCCTAAATGTGTATTTCACATACCCTAATTATTAATCCATTATTAAATAGTAAACATTTTAATAAATGCAATTCCTGAACATTATTTACACTTTTCAATATACTAATTCATATGTTATATATATATATATATTTTTTTTTTAAATGTATGTAAAATATTTTATGATACATTTGCAAAACAAATATTACACATTTTCTTAAACTAATTTCTTCATTATTATTTACATATTTCAATATACAAATTCTTAATAAAGTATTAACTGAAATAAACAATCCATTTGCAAAACATAAATAGTACACATTTTCTTAAAACGCATTTCTTCAATATTATTTACATATTCCAATATATACATTTAATAACATTCTAAATCATTAAAATAAGTACCAATACCAATTCTTTATAAAGTATTAATCTTTCAAACAAATAATAACTTTGCAAAATATATAACTATTACACATTTTCCTAAATGCATTTCTTGAATATTACTTACATAGTCCAATATATAAATGTAATAACATTAACTTAAATAATTAAAATAAGTGATAAATACATTTGCAAAAAAAGTCAATATATTTTTTTCCCACAATTTCCTTAATATTGTTCACATATTTCAATATAATAATTCTTAAAGTATTCATTAATTATAACATTTATAAATACATGTGTGAAAATGTAAATATTATACATTTACGAGTATTACATTATTATATGCATTAAATGCAAAAAAAAAATTTCATTTGCATATATTTCAATGGAAGTTTAATTACCATAAACAGCTGAGGCAAAATAAGTTTAATAACTGAAATTGGTTAAATTGTTATTGATGATCTATTAAACACTTATTGTGGCTGCTTATTTGGATCAATGCATGTAAATGTCATATTAAATTACTATTAAAATCTTGCTTCAAGAACAAATGGTACATCCAAATTAGGTGTAGTACTGGTACATAACTAACTAGTACTTATTAACTACCTAGTATGACCTTACAAACAGCTGGTGCAACCCTACCCAGAAGAATCTTATCAACTATCTTTATGCATGGAATGTCATGAGGGTGAATTAAATAATGACATGATCTTATAATTACAGTCCATCCCAATAAACATGTCACCATGTGATAATAACATTCAATCAACAGTCCGCTGCTGCTGCACACATACCATCACATGGCGAGGTAACAGGAAAGCTGTATGCTAATGTATAAAATGCTGTGAGGAAGTCATTATTCTGACATCTGTGTCACGTCTCTGGCACAGAACGACTGGAAAGAGTCAACCGTCCTTAGTTAAGAGTCAACATCCTCCACTCCTAAAATTCATCATCCAACTCTCACTCAAATGTCTTCTAACTCTATTTTTCACCCTTAGCCCTGTGACGGTACGCACATCTCATCCTCTTTCAGTAAGAAGATTTCACTGGAACAGAACAGAGATGTTCAGCTTGTGGGAAGACAGAAAAACTCAGGGACAGTGTGTCTAACACAAATCTGAAGACCTGTCATGAATGCAGCTCTGTTACACACATACAGTATATATTTTGAAAATATTTACATGTATATACATTTATATATTCATATTTCATATTATATATAAATATATTTAATACATGAACATAACATATTTTTCTTAAATATATACATGCATGTGTTTGTATTTATATATACATAATAAATATACACAGTACACACTCTTATATTATGTAAACAAAAACTTTTATTTTGGATGCGACTAATCGCGATTAATCGTTTGACAGCACTACTGATAATATAATACTAATGATTCAAAAGGAATAATTCACCCAAGAATGAAAGTTTGCTGAACATTTACTCACCCTCAGGCTCATGTCACCATGTGATAATAACATTCAATCAACAGTCCGCTGCTGCTGCACACATACCATCACATGGCGAGGTAACAGGAAAGCTGTATGCTAATGTATAAAATGCTGTGAGGAAGTTGTTATTCTGACATCTGTGTCACGTCTCTGGCACAGAACGACTGGAAAGAGTCAACCGTCCTTAGTTAAGAGTCAACATCCTCCGCTCCAAAACCTGAGACTTTTCTCACCACAATTCATCATCCAACTCTCACTCAAATGTCTTCCAACTCTACTGTTCACCCTTAGCCCTGTGACGGTAAGCACATCTCAGCCTCTTTCAGTGAGAAGATTTCACTGCAACAGAACAGAGACGTTCAGCTTGTGGGAAGACAGAAAGACTCGGGGACAGTGTGTCCAACACGAATCTGAAAACCTGCCATTAATGCAGCTCAGTTTATTTCCCAAAAACAGGATGTGATTCAAACATCCACTTTCTGGAGTGCAAAAACATACAAACCCTCATACAAAATCCATCAAAATGTTTTTTTTTTTTTTTTTTGCTAAACTGTTCCTAAAATACTAGTCCTCTGTCCATAATATTGCTTTCTCCAGTGAAAAGGGATCTCATCTGAATCAGGAAAGAAATAACCAAGCACCGTTTGCAAGTGAAACCATTCTAAACAAATACTGTATGTTTTTATGGATTATGGACTGATATTTTGGCCAGAAGTAATGGTTTAAAGTTAAAATGCTTTAATGATGGATTTGTTTCTTAGAAACATGCAGGTTTTTATTCACAAGACATTAATTGATGGACTGGAGTGGTGTGGATTACTTGTGGATTATTGTGATGTTTTTATCAGCTGTTTGGACTCTCGTTCTGACGGCACCCATTCACTGCAGAGGATCTATTGGTGAGCAAGTGATGCAATGACAAACGTCTACACATCGGTTCAATGAAGAAACAATCTCATCTATATCTTGGATGGGTCAAAAAAGCACAGCTTTTAGCTACTTGCATTTAATATTAATTACAATTCTAAAACATTTTTATTTAATTTCAATTGTGTCAACACTTAAACATTACGCTCAGTTGACACTTAAATAAAAAAGTACCCCCCCCCCAGAAATCTTTATCACTTTTTATCAATTTAACACATCCTTTCTGAATAAAATAATTCTTTAAAAAAAAATAAAAATAAAAAATGTACAGACCCCAAACTTTTGAACGTAAGTGTACATTGTTAGAAAATATTTCTATTTTGAATAAATCCTGTTCTTTTTAACTTTTTATTCATCAAAGAATCCTGAAAAAAGTATCACAGGTTCCAAATAAAATATTAAGCAGCACAACTGTTTGGAAACATTGATAATAAATCAGTATATCAGAATGATTTCTGAAGGATCATGTGACACTGAAGACTGGAGTAATGATGCTGAAAATTCAGCCTTGCATTGAAAGACTAAATTACATTTTAAAGTGTATTAAAGTAGAAAATACACTTTTTTTTCTGTATTTTTGATCAAATAAATACAGCCTTGATGAGTAGAAGAGACTTCACTTTTTCATTATTTGTCATTATTATTTCTGTTATTATTTTTTAACAAATATGTTGAAGTGCACTTCTTTTTTTTTTCACAAGAGAAACAATGCCAAACAATACCATTTTAAGATAAAAAGCAGCGCCTGACAGAGAAAACTCCTTTACAGTAAAAACACACTGCTGTCTGTAGTTTTACTGACAAAAACATCTCAAGTTCTACACATCAGCAACTTTCCAGCGGCAAACAAGGAGGGAGGAAAGACTTTTTTGTATTCCTCACATCACTCATGGCGATCTGTTCTCATTGTGTGTTTACTTCACCACACACACACACACACACACCCCTGTGCAGCAGACTGACTGACAGCAGCGAGGGAAGCCCATGTGCTGGGTGAGATTGCTCCTGACAGGTGACTGACACGCAGGAAAACCTTTATATTAGCCCACAGCCAAACAATCAATGGTGAGACAAAAAAAGGCAGGGGTGTTGTAAGCATCACTACCGCTGCAATGAAGAGTCTGCTGAAATGAGAACTGAAAGCCATCGCTCTTCATCTTCAGCCATCTCTTCATTTATCACTCAGGGTTTGTTCTGAGGGGGAATGTCTGTTAGGGAAATCTTTGAATCACACGATGTGACACCTTCAAAACATCTTATATTTAAACAAACCTGTTGCAGGCTGGTGTATAACTGTGTTTGTGTCGATTACAGGTTACAGAACAAGAATAATGGCCAAACAGAACCACACAATAGGACAAACAAACAATGTATAAGACACACAATATAAGAATTTGACTCAAATGTAGTAAGGCTGACAACAGATCAAAATGATTGATTAGGATTAACCCCATTATTTATGTATTGGCTTGTATGTTTGTTTGTTAATGCATTGGCATATACTTTAATCCCACAAAAACCACAATGTTCTCATTTTGCAGTGTTAATTTATTGCATGCATATTGCATGTCAATATCTTCTGGGAAAATGAAGATAATTGCTAATAAAACCATTACATGATGGCAGACTAGTAACTGTACTGAATAGACAGAGAAC